CCGCTGGAGAGGAGCCAGCCCCGGCCGGGCGGCAGCGTGCAGCACCGGGCTTTTATTACCCCGAGTGACCTCATTTCCCAACGTTCCTCTTTTCTCGCTGTTAATTGCGGCAGGGCCGCGAAGGAACCCTGGGCCTGTCTTCTCAGCCAAATGGGCACCGCTTCAACCTTCGGGCTGTCTTTCCGATTTCCTTTCATGATGAGATGAAATCCTTCAGGCATGAGCCGCGGCGGCTGGTGGCTGCCTCAGTGTGGGGTTCACGGTCCTTGACCCAGGGGGTGGTCCCAGTCCCTGCACTGGGGGGGTTTCCAGTCCTGCTAGGAAGGCGCCTTCAGCCTCTTTGCTCGACCAAAGCTCAGTGCACGTTGCACGCTCCCTACGGATCATCTGCCAGCACTGGTCCCTGGCGTGCGAGGGGGCCATGCGAGCGGTGGCAGCGAGGGGTGTGCTCTGCCAACATGATCCTGGGGTCCTGCATCCCATAGTCCCTGTCTTACTGAGCACCTAGTTCCAAGTTTGCAGGGTCTCACCAAGGTCTGCCATCCCCTGCTGTCTCCTGGAGGATTTCCCATGGCAGAAGGGACTGAGAATGACCCTGATAAAGGAGTGAGGAGAAGAGCATCCCGCTCAATGCTCAGCTGGTCAGCCTGACCTCCCCGTACCACAAAACACGGCTCTGCTGGCCCGTCCCGTAACAACTTCCTGCGTCTCTTCCAGGGGAAATATGAAGAAAGATTCCTGAAAGATGAAACCATCTCCCAGCAGATCAACTCCGTCGAGTCCCTCCCGGAGCTGCACCTCTCTCTGGAGGATGACAAGCCCGAGCAGCTCTTGCAGAGGAAGCTGCATGTGAGGAGCCGGCCTCCTTCCAAGCCCACCATTGTCCGAGGGGTCACCTACTACAAAGCCCAGTCCACCGAGTCGGAGAATGACATCGAGGAGCAGCGTGAGTTGGGTTTGCATTCGTGTGTGGCTGGCTGGCTACCTCCTGTAGCAAAAACAGTGTTCCCCCCTAGTCCTGCCTCGATGCCTGGGAATGTGTAAAGCATGTGGGGTCACCATGGAGAGGAGGGCTCGGGGGCAGGGGGAGGTGGGACAGTTGGTACCTTGCCGCTGGAAGCAGCTAGGTGGCTTCCAGCCTTTGAGCCTTGTGCAGGGGAGTCTTGTGTTGCAATTCCATGGAAAATCGCTGGTAGCTAAGGAAACAAATCACTGCTTCGGCTTAAAACACCCAGTAGGTGGGTAAATGCAGGTTTATTGGGTATGTTAGTCCTGCCTGGTGGCATCCCAGGGGGGTCGTGCAGTGAGTTGAGGTGGTGGGAGGCGGCTCAGAGGCTGCCGTGATCTGGGCAGGGTGCTGCTCGTGGCTCTGGCCCTGGTGAGATCAGGGGGCTCAGCCCACAGGGCCTGGCAGTGGAGCAGGGGGCCCAGCCCACAGGGCCTGGCAGTGCAGGCAAACAAGGCAAGTGCCCTTTCTCTGCCAAGCCAGCTCAGCAGCGAGGTTGGCCACCCTGCAGGAGTTTGTGAGATCCCTGAGGTGAGGAGGAGCAAAGGGCACCCATGGTAACTGGGGAGCCTGAGTGGTTCCTGCGCCCTGGATGAGGCACCAGCTTTGCAGCCCGGGTGGGGTGGGTGGGA